ATGTCTGTGTGCTTCTTAGTCATTTTATCACATCAGAAGTAGTATCAGTTATCCCAGATAAAACATGGATAATACTTCCAGAAGACAACGTGGTTGATGTATATGAATATGCATATCAAATAGCTCTATTCCATATTCTTGGATTATGTTTTGATGATCTAGGTCCCAGTCTTGCAGCTGGCAAATACACTGCCTGTGAGCATGGAAAAGCCTCTGTTGACTTAGAGTGTGGAACAGATACAGGTGCTGTTTAGCCAGGGCTGAATCCCATCTGCTTTGTGGTGCTACTGTAACAAAACTGTGAGGGACACTTGCCCCGGCTGTTGCCTTGACAAAAGATTACGAATAAATGGAACCAGGGTGCCTGTGGAAACTCTGGGCACTCCTGTGAGTCTGACACACTTTGAGGCTTCTGTCACACCCATGGTTCGAGCCGCTGAGGTGCTGACTGTGGGAGGGCTGTTGTCTTGTGACAGCGAGGCATCTTTGAGCCATCACATGTGCCAAGTGATTGAATTATCAGGGGCAGGCAGGTTCTAAGACTACCTGTGTGCCTCTTGTTTTGGCAAGTATTTATTCTTTCATACCTTCTGATGATATTTTCATGCTAGCCTTTTTAGGAAGCAAAATTTGTATTAAGCTAAGACTGTCTGCTGGGTCTTGACTCATCTTTTGCTTTATGATGTAAAACCATTTGAAACTCTTGTTACTTGTGCTTATTTATGCCTCTTTTTTTTTTGACATGGACAAAAGTAAACTCAGAACTAAATGTAAACACATTTAAGGTGGAATCTGGTCCTAAAACCCATGGAATTTTGCATGTGTTTTTCTGCTGAGAAATTCCCAATATAAAATTTTGTTTGCTGAGTAGGAGAACAGTAGCAGTTCAAAGCTGCTGTGCTGTAGTATTACAAATTTTGGTCCTCGGGTTCTGAAGGCAAGAAGACTGAATATTCTATTTCTTTTTAAAACAGCCAGAGTAGAAATGTGTAAACAACTTTTTCCTCAAACTGCAGCTACTTCTAGCTTACAAATCAATTCAGTTTCTCAGGTGACTGCCCTAAAATGTTGAAGTATAATGCAAGACTGCCTGGACTGGCCAGTGTGGCAAGAGAGACCCCAAGACTTTCTGGGCCAAAACCTGGAGGTCACAGTATATGTCTAAGTAACTTTTTTCTTCAGTGCAACGAGCTGCTCTGTAGGCTCTTCCTGCACTGTGACTGGAAGAATTCCTGGATTATACCTGCAACAAACAATACCTGCAACTGCACAGGCACATTCACTTTGGCTTTTAAGATGACAGCAAGATGGATTCGACTTTTATTTTATTCTCTAAATAATCTAGTTCCCTTTCCTAAGCTCTGAGCATCTAATAGGTTCTATTTAGTGCTCTTGCAGTCTTGGAAATGATATAATGTAGTCTCACAGCTCCAGACAGCTTTTTAAAAGCCTGCTGTTGGATACATCTTTCTGACAATTGGGAGTGAAGTATTTTGTATGTGTATACACACTTGCACATACGCTTGGCCACCCACGGAGTTTTCCCTATAATGTGAGCTGCTGGGTTGTAAAACTGTTCATACCTTGGCACCAATAGATCTGTATTAATTCCTGTCCCTCAGACTGCCAACGCCAGGGTAAATTGCCTGAAGTTAATCTAACAGTAGGATATGGACAGCTGTAATTGTAAACCAAACAGCTGGAATTTGGTGGGCTGGAATAAACAGCAAAATGTGGCTGGAACTGGAGATTGAATACTTTTAAAAATAATTTTAGGCTAGCACATTTCTCGTATATTAATTATTCTGGCATATATACCCAGATTGGTCTTCCCTGGCAAATGCACAAGTAGTTTAAGGATTGCAGGGAAGAACATTTTGAACACAGTAGGACAATACTGTAGTTAATTACTGTACGTTGCATCTTTAGTCACAAAGTGACTATCGGCTTCGACTAAAAGGAAAAGGATAAAAAACCCCTAACCTGCTTCATGTGGGGGTGGGGCCTGTATCTGAAATCTAAGCAATGGATTTTCTTTTCAGAATAATCAGTGCATTCCAGCTGGGTTGGAAAACTACTACTCTGAACAAGACTCCAGCGCTCGAGGGAAATTTTACACAGTCATAAACCACTACAACCTGGCCAAACAAACCATCACGCGCTCCGTGTCCCCGTGGATGACAGTACTGTCAGAAGAGAAACTGTCTGAACAGGAGACTGAAGCTGCTGAGAAATCAGCTTAGTATGATAAGCTAATTATTAAAACTATGTCATTTGAAGGTAACTAAGGGACTTCAAGGAACTTTTCATTAAATATAATTATGGATAATTTAGAGGTTACTCATGTTTATGGTGTAACTGCTTCTGTTTGCTGATACTGCTTTGCAAAAAAAAAAAAAGAAAAAAAGTGAAAACAAACATTTGCTGCAGAACATTCATGGGCATAACCCCAGGTGCATATCAGCATTGCTGTAGAGCTTTGACACCATTTTCAATGTTAAAAAAAAAAAATCCAGTGTTAGATATGTTCTTGCAGTTTATTGGATACTGATAGATTTTGTCACTGGATTTTCAGGACTTGGACCTTAGATAAATCATGTGTTCTGTTGTCTGAACAGATACTGAATTTATTAAGTTTTTGAATTCTTTGTCATTTTGCAAACCGAAACACCCCAGCCATAACTAGAGTGATCTCTTGTTTAGCTGAAAGCTGTAAGTGATGTTTAGGTTGGGCTCAAGCAAGAATGATAGTCAGCACTGACATCGGGGCATAATGTAATGACTTGTATGGAGAAAGAATCTGTCAGGTCACATTTTTCCTTACATTTCCTTTACTGTTTTTTGTGATAATGAAGTTCTCTGCAACAAGGCATGCTCAATGTTTTCTTATTGCTGTCAACAGGATTTAACTGCATTTCCACTGTGGCTTTAGCATCTTGGTAAGGATGTGCACTGAAACACAAACTAGATATTATGGAAAAACACAGGCAGTTTTAGTGGTGGGTGTTGAGGATAGTGTAAAAAATACACAGTTCAGGATGTTCTAATGAGAAATTACATCTTTCGATCATACTAAAGAGGCAGAAAGCCTATTCACAGTACATGTAGTCTACTATGTCATTTGTTGGATACGGCTGAAGGAGTAATGTCTAAATTTCCTCCTGTATGACATTCACATTTCCCCTTTTTATTAGTTAGAAAGAACTTTCTGTTTATGTATGGCTTGCAGTTGATACTTTTTAAAACATGGAGCATCACAAGTGAAACAGTAGCCTATTAGATACCACAACTGGCTGTTAGAGCTCCATGAGAAAGGGAGTGAAGAGTAGAACTGTTTGTGTATGGCTTGGGAGGGGAAAAGACGTAGAGGAACATAGTATTGTGGGTGCACGTTAAAGTTCCATTGTAATTACCAACTTACCTATTCTTTGTGTGAAATCATGTTTTCATTTTTATTATAAATCTTAAATATACATTATATAAAGACATCTTATTAATTTAACATACAAAAGTGTGTGAAGCATCTGAGCAAGTTGCCTTTTTTTTCATGTAACTTGAATGGGACAAGAGAGAGTGGACATGTCAAAAGTTCCTTTTTTTTTGGTAGAGTCTGTACAAAAATTAAGGGAAAACATCAGTATAGGCTGTTTCTCAAGCTCTGTAGTAGAACAAATGTGGTCAGCTCTATGTCTGTTTTTCTCCAGCAGAAGCCTGTCATCCCAGTACAGCAAAAATAACCATTATGACTCAATGCTCTAAATTCGATAGGAAATGTGCATTACACATTGCAGCTGTAAAAGGCTTTTTATTAAGTCATCATGTTATGTGGAATGCCTAAGAAGCAATAAACTATGTGCCAAATTTTTCTTTGCATCTAAAAATATCAAGTTTATGTTACATCTTTAAACCATACCTTGTTTGCATTTCCTAACAGGCATCTGCTTTATTGAATATAATTAATTCACATGAAACTTTTGACATTTTCACTCTGTGCAGAGTAAGGAATAAGAATGATGCCTATTGCATAGAATATATAGAAAGATACATTCAGAAGAGAGATGGGAAAACACACGCATTTCATATCTATGTACGTGTAGGTAACATTCAGATTTTACAAGATGGAAAGGTCTGTTTCCCAAGACTGTCCTAAATAGAAATGATTCACGATACAAATCCTCCCCTTGAATTTAGGACAATAAAAACTTTAATGCATAAGTAAATACTGATGAGAAACAACTTCTTTTTCTCCTCGTAACAATAAACAATAAAATTAGTAAGCCTTACAATCTAGGAGAAACAGATTGTTTATGCTTCTTGAAGTCAAAATCATTTTCCCTCTAATTTATCAGGAGGGAGTTTATTGAGTCTTGTTTACACTTGATTTTTGAGACTTTTTTTAGTTAACAAATTGCTCCCAGTTTTGGTAGTTTGAAGAGTTTAATTGTCTATCCTTTGGCTTTGTTCCAGCATCCCAGACCATCTGTTTCATTGCACAATCTGTGTTGTATTCTCTCTTTTCACTTACACGTAAAGCTCTTTCGTTGACTCATTATTATTATTACTACCATTAGATCAAGCTGATTTCTGAGTTAAGTAGTTTCACAGGATTAGAAGTAAAGGTCATTTATGTGCAAAGTGATCACTGTATGTACTGAAGTGGTGTGATGAAATAAACGCCTGAGACAGTGTAGATGCTTTTGCACAGTAACAGTTTTCTCTTGCTCTGGGATGGGAGCTGGACTTTCCACAGGACAGGTTGGTGGCTGTGGCAAAACCAGTATTGTTTTTAATTTTGTTAGCTCTGCTCCAGTTTGTAGCTTTCTTCACAGGCTTTTTTATGTTTGATACAGGAATTTAAAAGAATGTACTAATGGATATGTGCACACACTTATTTTTTGGAAAATATTTCCATCATAGAGGTATGAGAAAAATCCATAAAATGCGTAGGTATGCTGTTGTACCTCCCTCCACTAAAAAAAGTCAGAACATTTACAAACAGAGCATGGAGCCAATAATATGTTTAATTAATTGTCATACCAGTCCAGGAAAAGCAAGGAGAATGAACACATCACAAGGAAGAAGAGGATCCATACTCTAAATCCAGCATTGTTTTTGATGGCCTGTGAGGGAAAAGTTATCCCTGTTACCATACCAGTAAATACAGTTTTAACAGTGGCAACCCAAAATGTCTATGGCATCACCCTTCCCTCCCACAAGAGAAACAACAGAATTTGCCCTTAATTTCAGGTGAGTACAGGTCAGGTTGGCTGTACCTCTTTAGATTTATCACACTGAGTCACAATCAAAATCTTATAATTGCACATTTGGAAAAAAAAGTAAAGAACATTGAAATCCCAAGATCTCATACAAACACTAGGAACTATATCAGAAAGTACATGCTTCAAAGTGAGTTCCAAAAGTGAAATTCCTTGATTAAAAGTAATCAGGCCTTCTTTCTAATAAAGATCTGACTTGAAACAAATTAAAAAACAGTAAAACCAAACAACAAACAAACAAATAAGAAAAATCCCTGACACCTGTGGAGATAACTCAGTCACTTATTTCAGTCTCAGAGCAAGTATTTTTCTTGGCTTCTCCTTTCCAAAACTGAGACCAGCAGGGCACTTATTTTTTGTTCTCATCTTTTAGAGTTACACATGGAAGTTTTTTTTCACATGATACAAACATTAATGTGAGTAACAAAGTGTTTTATTTTACCACCTATCACAACTGTTTCTCAGGATCATTTAGGAAACTTAATTCTACCTAAAAATGTGAAAAGTGAAGCAAAATACAGCTTCTGTTCTTGCCATGTATGGTGCACTTTTCAGAAGAGCAGAGCAGTGGATAACTCATCCTTGAGATAATTTTTCTGTGTGCTCTCAGGAGGGAGAAGAAAGTGATCCATTGACTCAGTAGCCTAATTTAGGGACTCAATTTTTATTGAAATCTAAGTTCCCAAAAGAAAATATCCTTTCCTTCTAATTAGTAAAAGACTGGAAAGATTTGTCTACTAGGAACATGCAAAGGTGTTCAGGTAAAGTCTCTTCTAACACTCAGCATTCTGTTTCAACCATTTCAGCACTCTCTTACATTGGTAGTCTGAGATTTCTACCCCCTCCCTTCCTTTTTTCAGAAAACTTCACAGGTGCTTAAATGCAAGCCAGGTGACCTTCATGTTTAAAAAACTGCTGAGGCCAAGTAGATTTCTGCAGTCCTGTGTTGCTATTCAGATCATGCTTAGCAAGTGTGAACTGCTGAGAAGCTGAGCTACCTTGGACAGTTTCCCCAAACCCCTAACCTGACACCCAACACCTGCTGCATCGGTCCCGTGGGTGAGCTCGCATGTGCTGTTTTAAAGCAACACCTGGAAAAAACTGAAAGTTAAGAGAAATGAGTCTAAAACACAACTTCAAGATATTACCTCTCTTATGTCTTCATTGCCTTCTTTTATATTCTCTGTTGCACCCACAACTAATTGGTGGATATTGTCAATATCAGTTTCCTGTTTAAAAAAATAAATAAAATTGAGAAATAGTAATGAATGTTATGAAAAAACACTTCCAAGGACTTGGGGAACAAGCAGAACTCAAAAGTAAAATAAAATCTGGTATTATCAACATCTTTGTTTCATTGATGCAAAGGCAGAGAGTAAGACATTTAAGTTGTAATTTCTTTATAAGTGATTTTACAAACCTGAATGGAAACCACCAAGACCAGTAAGAAGTCTCCCATTTATCTAGAGTCAAATCTAACCTGTGTGATTTTTCCCAGCTCTTCTGGAAGAGGTGCCAACATTTCCAGAAAGGATGCTGTTAAATAACAGCATTTAACAGGACACCAGTTCTGAGGCAGAGGGATCATTCTAACACATATCTCTCATTTTCCATTCCTGGTACATACTAGTAAGTAACAACAGTAAATATCATGATTTTGAATTTGCAAAACAAACAAAAATACTCTCCTTCACATTTCTATTGAAGGTTTGTTAATTTTATGGTAACAAGTTGGCTGTCAAGACTGAAATACCCCCAAGAAAATCTTCAAGTGGTATTTGTTGCTGTAGTATTAAATTATACTAACCTGTTGCAAGACTTTCTCAGTGAATATCTCTTGTAATCTGGAGATTTCCACCACTTTTCCTTCAATTTGTCTTGGCAAAGAACAGAAATACTCCATTAGAAACTAGTGCAAACATGTCTTGCTGCTGCAGATGCCGACCCTCCAGCCCAGTAAGTGGCTGCTCAGGAGACCCCTGCTCCATCAGTTGTCCGTGAGGCAGCAATAGCCTGGGACTAGGGCTTGGACCGTGCCTGTCTGGAAGACAACTAGAACACAGTGAAGCCCTGGGAAAGGCACCCCAGAAGTGCTCAGTGAGCAGCTTTCACTGCCAAGTTTCACCAGTCTCCCTTCTTTCATTTCATATAATAACATCCAAGCAGGGCCTTAAGCAGTTGATTTTGACACACCCTTTTCATATGCTACTCTGATGTGTGCAGTTCACCTTGCCTAGGACTGATATCCAAAAGTCAATTTCTAGCTTGTGTAGCTGTCTGGGTGTTCTGCTGAGCTGGGGAGAATGAATGGCACCACTTCCTGTGTCTGCATGGGGTCAGCAACGATACCTCGCCTACTGCTATCTGAACATCCAGCAGACAACACGACAGAAACAGAAAATTTAGTACTTCAAAACATGGATAAGGGAGAAATGTAACTAGTGCTACCATTCTTACACTGTGGGACAGCACATAGTTCCTTTCCTGGGCACTGGTGTTTTGTCCCAGCTCCTCCCACACCACTAGAGCAGGAGCAGGCAGGTGTCCTGCAACCAATGCCCTGCACAAGGGGCTGACTGGGGCATGGGACCAGCACAGGCCACTGTCTGTCAAGTAACAGAAAATTGTACCTGACTTCATCGAAGAGATTGTTCATTTCACCAACAAGTCTCTGATTCTCCTGTTCAAACTGGAAGAAGGAAAGAAGGAAATGGCACACAGAATTTATAGATTTAATTTCCCAGAAGTGAGTCTGGGAATTTCAGTCTACCTGAAATGACATGTATGTGTTTGAATAAGGATTACCAGTAAATCTCACAGAGAAAGGTTTAGTCTTCTGACATGGGCAATTTCTATCATAAAGAATGAAGGAAAGTTTTTTTATTTCTTTTACAATCCAGATTTTCTTTAACATTGAGATTCATTTTGTACTAGAGGCTCACTGTCTACTTCATTGTTAAGAACGGCCTTTTCTCTTGGGTTAAAGGATTTCAGAGTCTAAGAGGAAGGTTACTGGGCACTGCCACCTTCACTGTGGGGTAGAGGTCTCAGGGAAGGTGTCCAGCTTCATGAATTGAAGAGGAACAGAAAGCAACATACTGCACAGTTCCATGAAGTCCCATTGATTTCCACTCTAAAGATCCAATGCTTTAGTCAAATAAAATAATACCAGTGTTGCAATACGTTCAAGTGTCATTGTCACTGCTGTCTGTAGTGATGCCACCTACAGAGTACAGCATTTTTGAAAATATAATCGCCTAAAATACAGTGATATTTACTTCTCAGCAGCGGATGACTAAAGGTGCTTCATCACTGCACTGCTTTACCTTCATGACTGTTGTATGTCTGGTTCTGGTGGAGTCAATTCACAAAAAAACCAAGGCACAGAGCAATGAAATAGAGCCACGAGATTTAGTGCTGTGATTATTGGTTGGTCCTTGAGTGACTAAGTGGGGCCACCATGCTGCAATTGTTTTTTCTGATTTCTCCAAGGATATCTGTACAAATATTCAACATTAGAAATTCCTTATTTTGCTGCCTTAAAAAACTGAGATGGTAACTAATTGAGAAGACGAATTTTCAGTGAAGAAACAGTGAATGACTTTAATCCTTCACAAGTAGTACAAATCCACTTAAGAAAGTATTCTTTAAGAAGTCCCTATGATATTTAAAACCTTCCATTGGCACAGGTTGCCTTTTAAACTGCTAAATGATCTTTGCAACTTGAAATCATGGCTGATGGAGCGCTTGCACAGACAGCAGTTAAAATATGCTAAAACAGGCAATTGAACAAAGGGTTTGAGTACTGAACACATCATATACCAGTGCGTCACAAAGGGATTTACATGATGGGAACATAAAACCAAGCTCTAGCAATCAGTGTAGCTCAGCAATTTATGGCTTATTGAAGTAGCCTCTTTTGTGACAGTGAAATATTCTGTTAGCAAAGTATGGCATAAAGTTACAAACTGCTTAATATATGACTAAAAATCCAAGGCACTCAAGAACAATATGAGAGCACACAAAACAGTCTCTGAAGAACATTTTCTCTTTAACAAGCCATACCATAATTATGTGCAACTTACTCATCTCTGACTGGAAGAATGATATACACTGTGTCTGGGAACACCTCAAATCATTGCCAAGAAAGCTTCACAAAGTCACTGCTGCCCTTTGCCCTGCAAAGCTCACTGTTCTGATATCTGCACAGCTACTGATTGATACCAGTTTTTCTTTCTTTATATAAACCGAAGGCAGCATGTGCTAATGTAGAGAGGTTTTTTTAAGAATTTTGAGCTATGTTCAAAAGGATAAATTTTAGGAATATCAAAAAATCTGACAGGCTGTCAGCAATCACGCCTATGTCAGAAATTTCCTATTCAAATGTAAGCAGAATTGGATCAATCTATAAACGTGCTGATAGCAGGGAAATGCAAAAATGTTAAAATTCACGAAATACTGTTGTGACAGATACCTTGTAACTATTCCTTCCAGGAAACCAATCTGATTTTGATAAAAAATAAAAAGAAATAAAATTAAGTATAACTTCACAGTAATAGTTAAATAGTACAACTATTTGTGTTCTAGAAACTGTCCAAGAAAAAAGGGTAAACAATTTATTCTTTCAGAAGTTTCATAATGATTCCTCTGAAGTTGCCTTGACTTCTGTTGTTTCCTGACTAAGCAAAGCAATTAGTAACTGTAATGGTAGAAAACAATTTTAATTTCAATTGTTGAAAGATAGTTTCTATTAATTTCATGTCTCCATGTAAATATTTTGTAGCATTTTTAAATATTAGCTGCTACCAGAAGAACCATGACATAACAAGCAAAAAGGGTATCTTATTGCAGCATTATTCTTCATAAAATGTTAATAGTTAATTTAGGTGAATCTGTACATTTTTTTTAGCCATACACACAAGAATACAACAGAAAATACAATAAAACAGACAATTAGACACAGGATAAACATACCATTTGTATTTCTTCAGGTGACAGCTCATCTTCACCTCTGCCATCCCCCCATAATCCAAGGTTACTTTGGGCATCGGGCAGATTCCTGTCTGTAAAAGAACCACCAAACATTTGAGACACTGAATAGTACAGGGCACAGAATAGTACAGTCAAAATAATTTTTCATCCATGTTAGACTGATGATGAAATTGTGGTATCTCCTTTGTCAGTTACTGAGATTTACCCTGTATTTACAGCACAAAATTACATCAATAACCTTTAATTTCCAAACTGAACCAGAAGTCGTCTTGTAGGTTTAATTTTGGGAACTAAAGAGTGTTGCATTAACATACTGACAGAGAAGGATGTAAAACAACTCATAATGCACTAAGAATTTTTAGGGCACAAAGTACTGTAGCAGTTGTCTTTTAACAGATAAGAACATGCAATTTTCAAAATGACAGTCTAAATGTAAAGTATTATCTTCTGGTGAGACTTGACAGAACCACCAGCTCCTCCTTCCAGGAACTAAGAGAGAATCTCAAAGATGTTTTGAGCAAAGCTCACAGACAAACTCGATTTTGTCATGCTGTTTAAACTTCTTATTACAATGCAAATCCCACACCACACTGTGCAAGAGGTCTTCCTGCATATAACAGGAATCAGCTCCAACCCCACAAATTAACCATAACACATCAAAGCTGCTTCATTCATTTCAGTAGTATTTCCCCTTTGATTAAAGCTACTCATCTGCATAAATCTTTGTATGAGTCGGACATAAAAGATCTTGAAGGGCTATTTCTGGGATATTCCCTTCTGGAAGATTTAATTTTAGGCTTAATTATATACTTCTGAATATAGAGGAAGTTAGAATGGGTGAGAAAAAAACCGTGCTACAGGAATCTGTTTCTGAAGCTGTTCTAGCATCAACATTTAAAAACCTTGTAAGAGTGCAGCCTTGAGAGAGCCTCTCTTCTCCCCACTGGCTGTAACAATCTTACAAAACCCAAGAGACATCTGTACCACCCCACAGTGGATCAACCCTCAACCTGCTTTGATGCATCAGATGCAGATTGCAAATTAAAACACAGAAAGATTTAGTTTTTACCTTTTCATACATTTCAGGCTTCCTATTTATTCCAGTCAATCTTTTAAGCATTCATATGTATTTTAATTAGTTTTGTTAGAACTTTCTAGACATCATTTTTTTTCAATTGCTTTAGCAGCACTGATGCATCATCATTCAGAAACTGACTTGTCTTGGGAAGCCTCTGAAAGGAGTAGTCCTATTTATAAACACATACATGAAAAGAGAAGGAGAAGTCTTCCCTTTTATCCTTCATGATAGTATTTGTGCAAACTCTTGAAAACATTAATATTTTAAAACAGTATTGTGTGTATCCTTTATAAACTTTTTTTTGGCCTCCCAACAACCTAACCAGGATGCATAAACAATGACAATGTTAAAAATGAGGGATGTGGATTAGGTATACAATAAATTTTAAAAAAACCAAACCCAAGCCAAAAAACAGATTAGTTCTTTCCTATGAGTTGTAAAATATAAACCAAAGAATCTCTTTAAAGATTGTTTAGAAAGCATCCATCTATTTTTTTCCATGGGATATTATCAGTATTTCAAATCTACTTCACGGAAACACAAAACTTACTTGTTTAGGTAATCAATATATTTACATTATATCAAAATTACAATAAATTATTTACTGTATTCAAATAAAATAACTAGTTAAGGAAAAGAAAAAAAAAAGAAAAACCCTATTTTATCCCACAGGAACCAATTAGTTTCAAGCCCTACCAGCACTGTTAAAATACAACATCTGTATCCAATGTGATGGCTAATAAGCAAATATACTTATGGTTAAGAGGTAAGCAAGAAACATGTATCTCCCCAGGGTTCCTCCTGTCACTGTGGTATGTTTTGGGCTTTCTGCAGCTTTCACGGAGCTGACATTAATGCTTTTCTGCAATTCAACCAGCAAAAGCCAAACTACATTTCTAGTTCAGAAGGAGAAGTAGTTAACTCATGAGAGAGATATAAAATAATGATCAAATCCTCTGAACCTTTTTCCACGCTGAGACAGCTGCTAAGCTTGTGGACCAGTTAAAAAGCTACTCATTCTTTACATTTATTTCCATAAACTAAATGTCAAATTTGTAACAAGCAAATAAATACTGCCAGTATATAGAAGCACTCTCCAGAGAGACCATTTTCCTACCATGTGGCATGTCTACTACAATTCCAATGTAAACGGGTGCTCTGCCTCAAAACAAAGGTAAACACATTTTGCTTTGGTTTCTGCCAAAAAAACAGACAAAACCCAAGTTGTGCTTCAGCACACTAAGTAGAACATTCAGCTGTTCATCACAGTGTTCAAATTAAGGACATGACCACAAGCTGCCCTCAAAAGTATCTTTACAGATGAGATTTAACCCAAGGGACCCAGGCATGCTGCTGATGGCTAATTCATTAGAACAAATTATCACCATTCTCTAAGCCATCGATATCCTGAGGATGAAACAGCTTATTTCAAAATGCAAAGACTTCTCTGGCTTCCTAAAAATTTGAAAGTTACTTGGAAAAAAAAAGTATAAATCAAAGGCTGCAAGATTTAAACTGAGTTTCTTGTTTCCTAGTCATCTTGTTCATGTTATTTTCACACTTTGACAACCACCTACCAGCAAAGTCACAAGGCTGATTTCTTCAAGCAGCAGCAACCAGCACTTATCCTTATGTGAGAAATCACAGGCTGTGTGAATTTGCATACTGTTCCAGACAGATTTTATTTTGATATACAAGTTCCATAGTTTTCTCGAAGTCTAGTCAGCAACCCCTTGTAAGCACTGCAGCAACACAACTTGTATGGCAGGAGCCCTACTTTCTCATAAAAATTAAAGCAAAAACTCATGAAAGTGAGAACTGGAGTAATCAAAATTAATGTGCAATAAAATAGCTGCATTTCTATTTACTGCAGTGGTTTGCTGTGTCCAAGGTAACCAAGGAACAGTATTTTCCATGCTGTGGCACAGGTTTTTGGAGCTAAAAATTGTAATGACACTATGTGGTGGGAGTGTACACTTCCAGAGATTGCAGGGATATTTGGTAACAAGGGAAGAGCACAGGGCAATGAAGATGCTACTATGCTGCTGCTTCTCCAGCGGCACCAGCTCACAGCTGTGAAACGCTGATAACAGGTTAAGGTGAAACTCATCTATGTGCCTGTGTGCTGCATCACTTATGCCACACTGTGAAGAGGTAAGCACTAGAAACAGCACATAATCAAAACCTGTACTTCGATAAATTCAGTGTCAGGGGGGAAAAAAAGAGGCAGACCGATAGGGCTGCAGAAGTACAAACTGGTTAGGAAGATAAGCAAAGCCATTATCAGAAAATGAAGGCATTCACATATTGTGAGGTAATTCAGTGTTAGAGACTTCATCCAGAAGTGGAGCACCCACTTCACATGAATCCACCCTCTGTATGGCCCTGGAGTCACCTAACAGTGGCACTATACTCTTAGCAAAAATCACTAAAGAAACAACTTCATTAGAATAATATGGCCAACCACTGCATTTGTTCTATCCCGATGAAGTATTATCCCAATGTAATGTAATTAGAAGGAAAAAAAATCCTGCTGTAAATCACAGGGTACCTTGGTCTCCTTTAAACAACACAAGTGGGAGATCTTAAGCCACAGAAAGCAACCTCAGAATCACTGAAACAAGATTTCTCTTTATGCATGAAACTTGAAATTATCTGCATAGTGGTGGTACTCCAAAAGGCACTCTGCTCCAAAGCTCTGCCAGCATACACATCCCAGAACAGGCTGAAATGGCTAAGGGAATTGAATTGGCTTCTATCCCTCACCCTGAGAAGCAGACAACCAGGAATGAGAACCAATGCCCACAAACCCCATCAAGATCTGCACCATCTGAAATGACCCCAAGGTCAGAGATACTGCTTTGGACTTCTGGCTATCTCCTGCCCACTGAAAGATGAGATGAAACCCTCCCAGCAGGGCAACTTAATGCTGTCAAGAAGAAAGCCTCAAAACTACTGGATCTGACCAGCCAATAACCTCCTCTGTGTGAGCATGTTCCACCTTAGAGTTTCTACTGTAGCAGTGTCCAACCAAGGTCTCTGTGCTTAAAAACTACAGAATGTTCCCAGAGAGTTGTTGACCTACTTTCTAATTCCTTGCATTCAGTGGAAGGAATATGGAAAAATCAGACAAATTTCAGAAGATATGATATTGATAAAAATAAATGAAAAAAGCTCATAAAGAGGTTATTAAGAGGATGAAGAATTCAGCATAGCATATGACTTGTTTACTTGGCATGTCAAAAAGTTTAAGATTCTGCTTCCTCAGTCTCACAATATCCTTCACAGAAGCCTGATCAGCTCAAGGAAGATGAAAATGGAAAACATGCCAGTCACAGAAATTTGCCCTTCTAAAGTGAAGGAAGTACTATCAACCGGATGGGCCTTGCCAAAAAAAGCAAAACATAACTACATTTTATTCTTACCTTTGCTTTCCTCAGCAGAAAGTTTTTCTTCAGAATCCTCTAAAGGACTCTGTGAAAATTTTTCAGTGGAAAGAGGTGCTTTGGACACATTGCTCTGCTCAGGTTCAAGTTTGGACCTAGAAGTACAAGAGCCTATGATGTAACTGTTATTACACAGATGTATTTCTCTAAAATGGAAACAACCACAGATTACTAAATTCAATACTTTAACTCTTGCAAACTTCATATTAAAGATTTTCCAGGCAAGATACAAAATGTACTTAGCAACTGTCACTGAAATATTATTACAAAGGCAAAGAAAGCATGAATAGTATTCCTGCACCACATGCTCAGAGTTGAGAACATTGAAGGCTACAGAATAAAAATACTGATACTTTAAATTTCCTTTCAAAAATCCAGTGTATTAATATTTTTTTTTAAAAGCCATAATTTAGGTCATACTGAAAAAAATTTAGTAGCAATGGCCAAGCCTATTTCTTTATTTTTTTCAAATAATAATGATAGCTTTACTTTATATTTTCAATCATCATAAAGGAAATACAATAGAATTATCTTTCTTATACTATTCTAAGTCCCTATTAGGTAATTTTAATACAAAGGCAATGCAAAACGTGAGAAGCTTATTCAATGATTATATATTAAGTACTTGTCAAGTATGTTTCAGGTTGAAAATTATTGCTAATGTATTTTTTTCCAGTAAATTTCTGTGGTTTATTGTTGTCTGCAATGAATTCTGTAACTGCTACACAGCAAGCAGTTAAATGTTTAGTAATGCTGTTGGAGAAGGTAAAGAACCAAAAATCCAAAACCCAAAACCCTGCTGTGCCAGGTGATTCCACCCTACCCTCTCAAATCACTTACCACTTCCTACCCTCTCAAATATAATCAACAGTTAATCTCATTATGATTTTCCATTCTCCCCTGTGCCTAAGAGAAGGTGTTGCTTTTTGTAACACACATTCTAACCCACAATTAGAAAATTCTGTGAAAAACAGAATATAATGCAATATAATGCAATTGTCATCACTGAGTGATCACTATTTAACAAGAAAAAACAGTAGCAGGGAACCTTTTCTAGTTAAAAAACCTCTCCAAGTACTGGGCTTTTAATAATTTTACAGAGAAGAATTCTCTCATCTCCTCCCTCTCAAATTTGCCTAATAATAATAATAAAAAACAAAACTTATCTACATATCTGTGCAGTTCAAGTGGTAGTATTAATACTAGTAAAACACCAATTCCCCAAGTAACAAAAATACCAGCTTGATTTGAATAATGGCATACATAACACACAAAATCTTCTCATGGAAAAAGAAGTTTAAAATTGAAATTAAATATAATCTTGAATACCAATAAACATTAAAACTGAAAATCACAACAAAGTACCTTTACAGAAAAAAATGCTTGTGTTTCTATTTCTCAGCTTTTCTTTCTGCAAAACTAGTCCTAACCAGCAGAACCTTTTAATCAAAAAATGTGAGTGAATACATAAAGGCAACCTCTGTAAGAAAATCATAACACTCAGGCAATTTGTTGAAGAGCTTAGGGTAATTATCAATATAAAAGGAAACATGATGAAATACATTTCTATGGCCAAGTTTTCAGTATTGTGTGATATCCACATATTTTAAATTGACTAAACTGCAGGAAAGAAGAGCTGCACTAGGATTAATTTATTTCTAAAGAAACATATTCCTTAATTGTATTGTCCTTACTGTGCACCTTATAGGATTACAGGAAACTTTCAATTTAAAATGAACAAAGTGTCTGGTATGCACTGTTTAAAGGATGCCTAGTTCTTTTAATAGAGGGTACACGTTCTTATCACATAAAGCATCTGCTGAAATCCTCAGGAAAATGACAAATCAATGATACTAGATTCTAGAACTATACTTTTTTTAATTACAATATAGATAATGGACCTTGAAGTTCCTATGCAAATATTGCAGAGTGAGAAGACATGGAAAGCCTCTCAGTTATTAAATAAATTGCAAACCTGCTCACTTTCCCTATCATTCTCACAATTGGGAGTATGCAGAAAAAGAAAGAGAAGTAGTACGGAGTTTGAAACTTGACTATTGACTGAAAAAAAAAATCCCATCAGACCAAAAAGGCAGCAAGCACATCATCTTTAATTTCTCTTAGACATTTTCAGCTCTACAGTAGCAGCCTTAACAAGTGCCACTACAGGAAGTGGAAACTCTTGTTTCAGTTCAGAAGTTAGATGATAGTTTTTTACGTTCATCATGTTTCTGCTTGCCATGAACACCTGCCATGTCAAGTAGTATTTATTAAAAACACAGTCACTTGTTCAGCAGTAAGATAGGACCTTTAAAGAAAAGCAAAAAAAATATTTTGGTGAATTTGTAGAAGTCAAATAGGTTTTTAAATCCACATTTTAATGATTTGGTGCTTTTATCCTTTACCTAAACAAGAACTACAACAGTATAATGGCACTCTGCCACTTTCAGACTTGACTTCACATGCCTGAAGAGTAAAGAGCCCTGGAATGCACCTGTTGACAGCAGAAGTTGTTCATCCAACCACAAACTTCCATTAAAACAATACCCTCAGAATCTAAACATGAACAATAGTTTTGTTGAATGTCCTACAAGTGAAAGGCACAGTTAAACTATTTTTTGATGCTACTCACAGTCTCTTCTTGTCTATCACTTGCTTAACTCGGATGGCTCTTTGTTCAGAATACAGCTTGCACACTCCTGTTCAAGGCAGCAGTAAACAAAATTTCAGGTTAAAAGAGCAAGAGTCCTTTCTCGGAAAATGCAATCATCCATTTGCAACTATTCAGTAAACACTAAGTACTTTTTAAGTAATCTTCAATGAAGTCCAAGACAGCTGTTCTGTGCTCCTTCACCTGAGCAGACTGGACACCCTTGTGTGCTGAAATACAAAAGAAAAATATAAAACCATCTTTTAACTTTTTTACTGAATTCCACAACAGTTTGCACTATCAGTTGATATGCAAGTTATATTCAAAAGCCTAGTTACATTTTATATATGTTATATATTAGTATTTATTTTAAACATAGCTATATTTAAATATATATTCTCTAAAACAGCAAGTCATTACAACAAACCAAAAACTGAAAATAACTAGTGTCCTATAGTATTTTTATATATGCCAGAATTCTATTATGTAATTTAAACTCTAAACAGGAATAGGCAACATCTAGCTAAGAACAGCAAACAGATCTAGACATTTAACATGCTTAAATTATTGAACTTGTTCAAATTTTCCAGTGTACAGACTATGTGGAAATTTTTGGGGATTTATTGTGTCAAACATCCTTTTAATTCACATATATAGATATTTTTCATTTTTATACCATGCAGTTCCCATGCATGACTGACATTCAATGATACTGAATAACGCTACAACCATGTTTAGATGGCATTTTAAAACTGATGAAAACCTTCTGTATATCAATAAAATTGAGATGCAGAAAGTCAGCTTGAAAACAGCAACACAGAAATTCTCTCTCTACCACTTTCACAAGATAGTATAGTAAAGGTATGATCCCACATTCAAGTTGTCAAAAACACTTACCAGGACTCTGTTAAAGTTATTTAATTATCTCAAACTTGGAAGTATTATACCTGTAAATACCTTACAGGTAGACAAGCTAGCAAAAGACAAGCATCAAATACAGAGGGCTTTGGTTTAGGCCTCTGTGCCACAGTGCTGAATTACCACTCAAGTAGCAAATATTTACAACTATTTTTAACACTTATTAACTGGTGTATTTGAACAACAAAAGTCTATGTTCTGGCTTCTCTTTCCACTATCATTAAAGAAAATGGAATTAATGTATTGGAATTACTGAACTAATCAGCCAATGGGATTACACCAAAGCAAACAAAAAGGCAACGAGACTTCCCCAATCTTTTTCCTAAAGCATTTAAGATTCACCATTATTTACCAATATTCAGCACTACCTTAGCCTTTATCAACAACTGAAAAAAACATGTAAGAGCTGCTTAGTTTACCTTCTGTTCTGAGCTGATGAATGGCATCTGCACACGTTCTCATAAACACCTGGGCATCTTGATCTATCTGGTCACGCTCTGTATCCGTCATTCTCACAAATTCAGACATAATATGGCTGAGAAACAAGACAAACTTGTTCCTTAAAAAATCCCCAACATAAAATCCACACCTTAGACCTTCTGCCGACTCACCATCTTTGTGAGAACATTTCTGCAACATTGATTTTCACAGAAAAAGTAATAAGAAGTACAGTAACTACCGCTGATAAAATGCCACTCCTATAAAGTGGAGGCTTTTTTTAGAACACTTTTACTAGTAAAGTAGGTAGAAAAATCAGTATCTCCTATCATCTTGTACATAACCAAACACAGAGCAGATAAGGAGAAAATACAACTAGAAAATATATCATTGCCCTTGGTACTTCTTCCAAAAAAGTGTCCTAAAAACACAAAAAAAATTAAGATAATGGAATAGCTCCAATACTGAAAGAAGTACAAAAAAAAGGAACTTATTTTACTTAAACATGTTTTCATTATCCTAATAACAGTGCTTCATTTTTAAAGTAGCTGTACTATTAAACTGTGAATTCAAACTAGAGGAAGAATACTGGAAAATAATGCACAATTTTAGTATCAAATTAATTGCAATATTTATCAAAACCTGTTCCCACTGTTTATTTCTATTTTAGATTATATATTACACATTTAATATTTTCTAATGCTAATATATCATTTATTTGCTAAATTAATATAAATGGAGGCCTGTCCTTAAAATATTAATTCACTGTAGGTAACCAGCAGAAAAGCATAATGTATAAAGTTATTTAACAATGTTTCCACAGGCACGGGTGACAGGATGATAAAACTGCTACAGCAAAAAAAAGTCCATCTTGGGTTTCCTGATGATGTAGTGATCACAGCCCATTATATCTGCTTTTAAAAAAGGAAAGAAAACCTTAACTCATACCTACATTTGAAATTATTACTTTTATATGTGAGAATTTCCTCATGTGTAATGCAACTACATTAATGAAGTAATACAAGTAAAAAGAGAGGATCTTCAATATTTAGCCTGATATCCTTAGAGATCTCTTACACACTTCACTGCAATAATGCCAAAGCTCCCCTGTGTCTGCTGCAATCCCAGTGGAGGAATGCCCACAATCCCATCTCATCAATTCATCCTACACAAACCCAGCAGCTTCTTCCTTCATCATCAATGTACTGCAAGCACAGGTCCACATCTCCACAAAGCTTTAAGTATACTCTAAAGTCTTTGATTATTATACCAAAATCTCTTCATTCCCATCTCATATTACTGGTTTTACATTAAAAACACAGCATATAGTTCATCTGACTTGAAAATTAGTTTCTGCTTATTGCTCAGCTAGTACACAAGCACAGATTAGCAAGCAAACAGTAAGACAAACTAATTTTTCTTAATAGAAGTAATAGTCTATATTTTACATGTTTGTTTCTAAAACTGCCATATATTTGACATCTAAATATCAGAGCTTTTTCCCCGCTCTGGTTAAAACTACTCCAAATGTCATAAAATTATGCTTTATTCATTAGAGAAAATCAGCCATATGTAGTGTTTCCATTTATCTTTTAGCAGCTGCATTGCTCTCCTTTGTTCAGGACAGAGAGGTTTCATAAATTTGTGGCAAAATCCCTATCACAGCCATAATCAGTGATTTTCTAAGCTGTAACTCTAAATCACACTTTGTGAGAAAGCAGCTTCTGAATGATGAAAGATTTGAAATTGCCTGATTTTAGAAATAGGTGATAAGAGAGGATTTCCCCAACTTGGCTGACATAATGACAGTCACAAATCCAAGGTAAGATAACTCATATAGTTAAATATATTGGGTCAGACCTCTCCCCTAGTTCCTCTGCACAGCTTGTATAGGTATTTCTGTTGCTAGTCTGTTGGATAAGCAAGTTCTAAGCACATGTAAAGCCAGGAAATCCATTCCTACATCCATCTCCACACAGGCCAAGACAGAAGGGGACCATTAAGACCATCCGGTATGGTATAATTCATAATGCCATTCAGTGAGCTCAGCCTAGAGAGTTACTTCAGCATTTTGGGGCACATAGATTTAGGTGGGAAATAAGAATGGGGTAACAGCTGTATGATGGCTCCTTGACAAAAAAAATTCCACTCTTCTATTTCAGATTACGATAATAAATTCTGGCTGGTCTGCTACTGAACAGGATATAAAGTTCTTGTAGTTTTAAGTCTAGCTGCTTGTACCCTTCCCAGCTTTGCAGTATTTGCAGAGCCCTACACTTTCTATGCACTTTTAAACATAAGAAGGCAAAATAAAGATTACAAAACTCAAACCAGATTATTCTTTGAAATCAGACTTAGAAATAAATATGAAAAAACTTGCCTCAGGAACATTTCATTTTTTTATTAACAGTTTAACTAGTGGTAGTCTAGTGATACACTGAGGATAATTGCAACAGCTTTTTAACATTGGGAACCAAGTTGTTAAGTTACTTTTCCTAGTTGCTTATAGAAAAACAGGGTAGATCAAATTCTTAAATAGGAGTTTCACAGCTTCAAAGCTAGCAAAATGCAGCTTAATTCAGTAAACAAGAAACAGAATACTTTTCCTTTTATAACTGCTTACAGCTTACATAGTGTCTGGTACCAGTGCTTTTGAACTTGAGCTGGTCAAGCCACTCAGAGGGAAGGATACCTGAAACCCAACCTCCTTGGGAAGGCAAGAATGGAGTCATACAATCACATCCCATTATGTCAGAACACATATGGCATCCACTAGTACTAACAGGGTACTGAAGTCTCCACTGCACTCCCCAGTAAATCTGCACATGAAGATTATACTGAAAATCCATTTAATCACCATCCTCTACCAGAAGAGAAACCATTAATTAAAATAAAACAGGCCAAAGAAAACCAAAACCACATAAAAACATCAAACAAAAACCAACACAACAGAAAAAAAAATCCAGCTGTGTCTTGTATGTCAGAGATACAAATGCATGCTCAGAAGTGCAGTGGCAGTATCACAGCAGTGGACTGTTCATCACTAAATCAAGAAGGGCTAAGAAAATCAGGTTTTTCAGAAGCAATCAGAATAATTAGCCAAGATATACACAGATAAAGAATGGAGAAAGGAAGAAAATAAATTCCTCTGAACTTTCATCCTTGCCAATATGAGAGCAACTCATAAGAAACTTGGGCTAGAAGGCAACTTGGTTTATTTGTCACTTTTAACAGTGGGTGAAGAGTACAATGAAGACAGTGACCATCAAGTGGGCAGATTTCACCAGTCTAGAAAAATGAGTAGGTGAAATTGCAAAGAAAATGTAAACCTAAAAAGGAATAGACAAGAATTCAGATGAACTAGTAGTTTTCATCTAGAAATTACATTATGATAATTTGCAATTCTGCCCTTAATGAAAAGGAAGAATAGGCAATACAGTGAGAGATTAACTGAGCTTTGCTGAGCTCAAAGAGAAAGATCAGAATACAAAGTGCAAATTAGTTCTGATTTCTATTGAGAAGTCTAAAGGAACACAGCATGCAGGGACACAGAAAAGGATCAAGCACAGGATGAGACACAACTGGGAAGGGATGCCAGTGATAGCAAGAGATTGCTCTGCAAACATTACTGTAAGAAACACTTAAGAATGTGGTCTTGGCCTGTTACTAAACAGAGAAGTAAAATTATATGCATTGTATGAATTAATTCTAGATGTTTATTGCTTTGTTTTGGTCTTTTTTGCACTAACTTTCATCATTAATGTCACTTGAAAACTGCAGTTACTATTCCTTTTAGCTTACTGCTTTTAAATCACCTGGGCCAAATTTAATATCTCTGTCATTTTAAAAAGATCATAATTCTTTGTTGACATTACCATCAGGCTGCTGAGTGAACAGTGTGAGAGAGAGAGAGCTACATGAACCAGGTCATAGCACAAGTGTACCTGAAGGTGCAGTGGCTCCTGGGACAACACTGAAGGTAAACTTGGTGAAGTGCATATCCTTCCTATCTGTGTGACAAAGCTGTGCTCTTGAACAGAACTAACCGACTTCCAAAAAAGCCCAGGGCGTATGCACATTCATACAGTGGGCAGAGACAGGAGACCAAGCCCTGGAATAAAATGGGAAATGCATCAAATGACAAGATGTCCTCACTGCCAAGAACAAGGAGAGAATAAGCAAATGACAGACTGATAAAAAGAAAAAGGTTAGCAACTATCTTTGAAAATAGGGTTAAAGGGACAAAAAAAGCTCAGAACACTTGTAGACCACTCACTCTAGAAAAAATACAGGAATAAATAAGCAATATTTAAGCACTTGGGAAAGAACAGAAAGATTACCAGTACCCAAGATGTATCAGCAGTACATCATAGGCAGTGTAATTTACTGCTGGGATGCAGTAACAGATCTTTACTGTTGGATAGATGAAAAGCAATCACTCCTGTGTTTTGGTATGGCTGTTGTTATCATCCCAAATAACATTTTCATAAGCTACCAATGAATAAATGAGTTAAAAGAAATAAGCACCATATGAATGTGAAACTGCAAAGTTGAACTTGGGGGTAGTTATATACCAAAACAGAAGGAAACACTGAGTTGTGTTTCACAGGATTTTGTCCCAAATCTGATGCTATTTAATATTTTCATTAATGATTCAGCAGAATGGACTATATACTTACTAAACTTTCAGATGTATAAAGTTAAGCAAATTAAAACCATATCAAGAGAACAAGACTTCAAAACAATATTGCCTGGAGAAATGACACAAAGAATTTCAATAGGGAATGGTCAGAAGCTGTTTGCTGCAGCAAGAACAATTATCTGAACCCACAGAGAATGGGAAACAACTGATTAGGGAACAGTTCTTCAGAAAGTCATCTGGGATCATATTGTATCATAAACCAAACACAACAACAACATGTTGTTGCATAAACAATCATCATTACAATGGGATACTTTATTCTAGTAACATGGATAGGGGAACAGGAAAAAGCAGAATGAGAATATGAAATCTTCACAGAAAGAAGTATTTAAAAGCAAGGAAAACACTAGTCATTCTCTTTTTGGATGTTGCAGCCATGGTCCTTCCAGCCTAAC